TTTTTTTTTTTTTTGGTTGGAAGGCTTTTGATGACTGCTTCTATTTCATTAGGGGTTATAGGTCGATTTAAACTGCTTATCTGTTCTTGGTTTACTTTGGTAAGTGATACCTTTTCATAAAATTGTCCATGTCCTTTAGATTTTCCAATTTTTGGGAGTACAGATTTTCAAAATATGACCAGAAGATTCTCTGGATTTCCTCAGCGTCCATTGTTATGTCCCCCTTTTCATTTCTGATTTCATTTCTGAATTAGCATGCTCTCTCTCTGCCTTTTGGTTAGTTTGGATAAAGGTTTGTCTATCTTGTTGATTTTCTCGAAGAACCAACTCTTTGTTACATTGATTCTTTGTATTGTTTTCTTTGTTTCTACTTTACTGGTTTCAGCCCTCAGTTTTATTATTTCCTGGTGTCTACTCCTCCCAGGTGAGATTGCTTCCTTTTGTTCTAGAGCTTTCAGTTGTGCTGTTAATTCTCTAGTGTGACTATTATCCAGATTAAAAATGTGGGCACTTAATGCTATGAACTTTCCTCTTAGCACTGCTTTCAGAGTGTCCCTTAAGTTTGGGTATGTTGTGTCTTCATTCTGGTTGAATTCTAGGAAGTCTTTAATTTTTTATTTCTTCCTTGACCCCTGGGTGCAATTGCGCATTGTTCAATTTCCATGAGTTTGTAGGTTTTCTGCAATTTGTGTTGTTGTTGAATTCTAACTTTAAAACCTGGTGGTCTGATAAGATTCAGGGAGTTATTCCAATTTTTTTGTATCTGTTGAGGTTTTCTATGTTGCCGAGTATGTGGTCAATTTTAGAGAAGGTTCCATGTGGCGCTGAGAAGGTATAGTCTTTTGTGTTTGGATGGAATGTTCTATAGAAGCCCGTTAAACCCAATTGGATCATAACTTTTGTTAGTTCTTTTGTTTCTTTGTTAAGTTTCTGTCTGGTGGTCCTGTCTAGTGGTGAGAGTGGGGTGTTGAAGTCTCCCACTATAAGTGTGTAAGGTTTTATGTGTGATTTGAGTTTTAGTAATGTTTCTTTTACAAACATGGGTGCCTTTGTATTTGGGGCATAGATGTTCTGAATTGAGACTTCATCCTAAATGATTTTTTCTGTGATGAATATGAAATGACCTTCTTCATCTCTTTTTGATTGATTTTAGTTTGAAGTCTAATTTGTTAGATATTAGAATAGCTACACCAGCTTGTTTCTTGGTTTCATTTGTTTAGAAAATCTTATCTCAACCCTTTACTCTGAGGTAACTTCTGTCTTTGAAGTTGAGGTGTGTTTCTTGTGTGCAACAGAAGGATTGATTCTGTCTTTGTATCCATTCTGTTAGCCTGGGTCTTTTTATAGGCAAGTTAAGACCATTAATATTGAGGGAAATTAAGGACCATTGAGTGTTAATTCTTATTTGTTTTAGATTTGTTGTTGTTGGTGATATTGTGTATGGATTTACCCTGCTTTTTCTTTTGGCTTTTGGTGAAGTGGGATTATCTATTGCCTATGTTTTTGTGAGTATAGTTAACTTCCTTAGGTTGGAGTTTTCCTTCCAGTACTCTCCATAGGGATAGATTAGTGGCTATGTATTGTTTAAATATGGTTTTGTCGTGGAATATCCTGTTTTCTCCATCTATAGTGATTGAAAGCTTTGCTGGGTATAGTAGTCTGGCCCGGCATCTGAGGTCTCTTTAGTGTGGGTAGAATATCTATCCAGGACCTTTTTATTATTAAGACCAAAGAGAATTCATGCTACCCTGTAGGTCGTGACCCATTAGGGGGTCCCAATGCATATCAGATACCCTGCCTAACAGATATTTATATTATGATTTATAACGGTAGCAAAATTATGAAGTAGCAACAAAATAATTTTATGGTTGGGGGACACCACAACATGAGGAACTGTATTAAAGGATCGCAGCATTAGGAAGGTTGAAAACCACTGGTTTAGAAAGAGAGATTTTTGTTGTTGTTTTAAATTTAATCCATGTGTATGGGTGTTTTGCTGCATTTATGTTTGTGTACCACATGTTTGCCTGATGCCATCAGAGGTTAGAAGAGGGCACCAGATCCTCTGGAATTGGAGTTACAGACAAATATGAGGCACCAGGTGGGTACAGGGAATTGAATCTGGTTCTCTAGAAGAGCAGCCAATAAATGCTCTTAAATGCTAGGCCAACCCTCCAGCCCTAGAGACATAGTTTTACAATGTAGCCCTAGCTGGTCTCAAACCTACAGCAATCCTCCTGCCTCAGACTTCCAAGTTCTGAGATAATAGGCATGTGTCAATTTAGTCATTTTAAAGAGTACATATATATGTGTAGAACGTTTACATTGTTGTGAAATATATACTTATAATTTTTCTTTTCACAATTCAAAATTCTATAGAGACTGAAGACCAACTCCTCTTCCTCTCATCCATTCCCCTGGTAACTGCCCTGCTGCTTCCTGTTTCTCTGAATGTAACTACTTTAGATACCTCACACTTGTGAGATAACTCAGCACATCTTCCAGGTTTATTTAATTTCAGAGGCAGAAGTCTTTCAAAGTGGTTGTACTGTTTTGTAGTCCCACTAGTAGTGAAGGAATGTTCTTTTTGTTGGTTTGTTTTTTTGAGACACAATATCTCTAGAGTTTGATCTAGGACCTACAAGGTGGAAGGAGAGAACTGGATCCTGCAAATTGTCCTCTGACCTCCACTATAGCATGCACACACACCCCAGCCCCATACAAAATGAAAGACTAAAAGCAATAAAAATTGACCCACAATCTTTTTGTTTGTTTGTTTGTTTTTGTTCTTGTTTTTCAAGATAGGGTTTCTCTGTGTAGTCTTAGCTATCCTAAAACTCATTCTGTAGACCAGGCTGGCCTTGAACTCACAGAGATCCACCTGCCTCTGCCTGCTAAATGCTGGATTAAAGGCGTGAGCCACCACTCTCCGGCAAACCTACAATTCTTTAATGGCATGAGATGTTGGCATTGTCTCATGGGTTTATTTGCTATTTACATATGTTATGTATTTTTGATGAAGTGCCTGTCATGTCTTTTGTTCAGTGTGCGTGTGTGTGTGTGTGTGTGTGTGTGTGTGTGTGTGTGTGTGTGTTGTTCAGATAGGGCCTCACTATGTAGATCAGGCTGGTACTGAATTTAAAGTTGTTTCCTGCTTCTGCCTCTTGAGTGCTGGGATTGTAAGCATGTGGCACCAGGCCTGGCTTTTGCCTATTTTTTAAAAGGACTATTTGATTTTTTATGGTTGAATTTTAATTAATAATTATTTTATATTTTGGGCAATATGTTTTAATAAGTTTTGTTTTGTTAATATTTCTTCCATAGCTCTTCTTCCTTGGTCCATTTAAAGTCATTCACCTTAAAGTGAAATATGATTGGCATTGTATCTTATGATTAAATATTTTCAAATACCTACACAACTAAGAGAAAATACTTTATTCTTAGAGAGTAACTGTTCTTTGCAGCTAAGAGATGTAGTCTCATAAATATCACAAAAAGTCAAACACACACACACACACACACACACACACACACGCCCGCACGCACACAAAATCCATCTCTGTAATGAATCAGTTGGAAACCCTTGTCAGAATCAAGATTTTAAAAACCTTACTACGTTTGTATTTTATTTTTCATGTCCATTGACAAATTGAAGAAGTCAATAAGCTCCCATGGGGCAGACAGGTGAAGAATTGACGTAGTTCCACTTAACGTGGTAGCAGTTTCCCTCTGAGCACTCATCCCTCTACCCTTCAAGTGTATGCCCTCTCTTACCACAACTATAGGAATCATTCCTTTGGGGTCGAGAACCCATTCACTGAACTGTTCCTCCAGAGCCTGTTGCCGCATGGAGGCCACCTTGACTTTGACTGTGCTTATATATTCTCTTTGTTGTCTCTTTTGTTTCACTTTCTCCTTCATTTTGGAAACTCTGGAAAGTGAGAACATAGGATATATGTTAAGAACCCTCAGTTTGGTTCAGATAGTTGAGTGGCAGAATCCAAGCCTTCTGAGCCTCACGCCTTTCTTTCACCAGCACTCACTGCACTGGACACTCAGCTGGCCTGTTTTACTTAAGTAGTAATATGTTAAAGAAGTTTGGTGGGAATGTCATTTAACATAATAATTATAGAAAACTGTGGAGACATTTAGAAAACATAAAAGTATAATTACCAAAAGACACAACAATCTTACTTTTGGATATCTTCCTAAAAGACTTGAGACTAGTTTGTTAAAAAGAGGTTTGCCCACAGAAACAGCTGACCTGAACAGGGGGAGCTCATGGACCCCAGACTGATAACTAGGAAACCGGCATAGGACTGTTCCAGACCCCCTGAACAAGGATGTCAGTTTGGAGATCTGGTTAATCTATGTGGTCTCTTGTAGTGGATCAGTATTTATCCCTAGTACAGGAATGGACTTTGGGAGCCCACTCCACATAGAAGGATACTCTCTCCACCTAGACACATGGAGGAGGGTCTAGGCCCTGCTCCAAATGATATGACAGACTCTGAAGATTCCCCCATGGAAGGCCTGACCCTCCCTGGGGAGCAGAAGGGATAGGGGGCTGGTGGGGGTTAGTGGAGGAGGGGAGGGCAAGGGAACTGGGATTGACATATAAAACAAGCCTGTTTCTAATTTAAATTTTAAAAAGAGGTTTGCATTCATATATTAATTGTCACACAATTCACAAGAACAAAATATAGAATCAATTCTGAATGGATAAAGAAAATTTGGCACACAAACACAATAGATTATTTTTGCAGCCTTACAGAAACAGAATCTGTTCTTTGTGAAATACAGATAGAACTGGAGAACTAGGGTAAGTGAAATAAACCAGGCAGAGAAAGACAAATGCCACATGTTATTACTTATATACAGTAAAATATAAAAATATCAAACACAGAAGCAGAGAGTATAGTGGTGGTTACTGAGGAGATTAAGGTCAAAGGAAACAAAATACATCAGTTATAGAAGGAAGAAGCACGGCAGTGGTGGTGCACACCTTTAATCCCAGCACTTGAGAGGCAGGTGGATCTCTGTGAGTTCAAGGCCAGCCTAGTCTACAGTGAGTCCCAGGACAGCCAGGGCTATTTCACAGAGAAACCCTGTTTCAAAACAAACAAACAAAAAAGAAGGAAGAATAAGGTTTTTTTAAGAATATCTATTGCACAAGTAATTTAGTTTATAATAGAATGTTGCATATTTAAAACTGCTACAAGTATAACTTTCAAATGTTCTCTCCATAAAAATGATAACTATTTGAGGTGAAAGATGGTAATTAGTTTGACTTAATTATACTACTACATATTTATAAATCATAACATCACATTGTACCCTATAATTATATACAACTATAATTAGTAAATTTACAGGTTTTTATTTTTGTTTTTTGTTTGTTTGTTTTACAAAAAGAAGTAGTAAGAATATCCCTAGAGTCACATGCCTTTAATGCCAGCACTTGGGAGGCAGAAGCAGATAGATGTTTATAAATTTGAGGTCAGCCTGGTCTACACAGAGAAACCCAGTCTCCAAAAATAAACAAACAAAAAAGAATACCCCTAGAGGCTTTTCTACATTCTCTAAAGGCAGAGATGGTCTAAAGCCTGAAGGTCATTAGCCTTTTTCTTCCCTGGACATAAAAGTCATCTAGAGGGATTCTGATCCCAAAACTAGGATGGAAGCATGGAAGGCCCTCTTAGAAGAACTAGGATGTTCTGGGCTAAATGTGTGGGATTTGCCTGGGAGTATATCTTGGCCTTTTGCTGCTATCTAGCTGGAATCAAATGTGTTTGCAGCTGAAGTCCTGAGTACAAGAGTAACTATTGTACTCAGCCAGAGACGTATCGCCAGGCTGAGAATGGGCCAAGAATGGAGGCTTCAATTGTTCCTATGTTAATCATCCCTATCAGAACTTAAAAAACCAACCAAACAAACCCCAAACTGTTTTGACTGAAATCAAATCACATGGTTCAGAATAATAAAAACAGCTCTGAGTGTCAAGTGATTTTTTTTTTTTTAGGTCCAACATTTGGAATAGGTTTTCATCTTTCAAAGAGGAAAGACCAAGACAATCAAGCAGATCTGAGATGCAAAAGAATTTCACTGAGAATGTAGACATTAGATACCTCTAATAGTACAAAAGAAGGTACTGAATCGAAGATGTGACTTTATGTCCTTGTAAAACCTTTGTATTCTCTAGGAATATAAGCCTTCAAAAAGAAACTTTCGGGTTTGAAAACAAAAGCATGGAAGCAGGTTAGCATGCAGAAGAGCCTAGTGTGAACTTCTGAAAGATTAGTTAGTATTTTAAAGGATGGGCTAAATTCCTCTAATGTACCTGCTAAGCATCCAAACCTCACAGGTCCCTTCAGGTTTTCTCACTCTCCTCTTCCCACTCTGCTTCTCTCTCTCTTGCCCAATACAGCACGTCTGTAGTTTCTGTCTTCACTCCAATATGGCTTTTTGTTCTATACCCGAGTCTTGTATCTAAGCATTTTCTCATTTACTTAGCCACGCTCACTTATCACAGGAGCATTTACTGGGCATTGTTACATAGTCTGCCATTATAAAGCTCAGCAACTGATGGCAAAACAGATCAGTTTTGGGATAGTGTCATAAGTACTGAGTGTCTCCAGATTTTCATAAGTCACAAAAATAGATTCACTAAGTTATTTTTCTGTCACATTTTCATCTGCTCAGAATGTTTCCCCTCTCCTCCATTTGCCTGACTCGATCTTCCGCATGCTTTGGGTTTCAGTTGAGACATCATTTCCTCCCACACCGTGATGCCCATATTTAGAAAGAAAATCTAGTTTTGTGCTTCAGAGACACTGTGTATGAGCTTCCAAATATAATACAAATGGATTTTAAATCGATTATGCCACTCTTTGAGGGAAGGGATAACATTTCTGTTGTCTACATTATCTTATGAGAACGTTACATCAACCAACAGAATTCTACACCATCCAACACTTTGTAACCTTGGGAGGTATAGGGTAAATGGAACCTACAAGGGGATTCTAAATATAACTCTCAGATGGGAAGAGAGCTTAGTCGGCAAAGAACTTGCCTTACAAGCATGATGGTCTGAGTTAGATCCTCAGAATCCAAGTTACATGAAGGGGGAAAAAGAGGAAGGGAAGGAAGAAGAAAAGGAAAGGTTAGGCGGGCATTGTAGTTATACACTTGTGATCCCGGCACTGGGGAGGTGACAGGAACAGGAAGAGTCCTGGGGTTTGTTGGCCAGCCATCCTAGACTACCTGGTAAGTTTTGAGCCAGTGAGAGACTGTCTGAAAAAACAAAGGTGGGCAGCTCTGAGGAATGACACCTGAGATTGACCTCTAGCCATGTGCACATGCACACACATGCACAAACACATGTATGCATGTGCACACACACATTGGCACACAAAAAAAGCTAACTAATAAAACTAGGTATGGTGGTACATACTTTGTAATTCCAGAACATGGGAGGCTGAGGCAGGAGGATTGCTGTGAGTTTGCAGCCAGCCTGGACTTCATAGCAAGACCCTGTCTCAAACAAACAACTAAATAATCAAGCATTCCCCCATATTAACAAGGGTTCTGAGATTAAAAAAAACAAAAAAACAAAAAATACACAGTACAAATCTGATTAAAGAGTAGAAATAAAGAGCATGGATGTAGTGTGCCCAACACACACAAGACCTGCATTTCATCCTTACTTAGCACCGGCTCTGTACAAACTGGGTGTGGTGCTACAGGGTAATTGCAGCACTCTTGAGGATGGAGGCAGGTGCCCCGGAAGTTCAGTGTCATTCGCAGCCACAAGCTACAGAAGGCAGAAGGCGATTAAGACACTGTTCGAGGGAGGGAGGGAGAAAAATACTTTAAAACTCTGTGAGCATGCGTGGTGTATGTGCATGCGTGTATTAGTGTACGTGTGTGTTTGGGTGGAATCTTATTATTTGAAAATTGGGTAGTACAAAATGAGCTAGCAAAGGAAGCTAAGGACTAAATAGGAAACTAGAACAAGGGGAAAGTAGGATATCGTGGCGAAGGGAAAGGTTTTCCAGAAGGAAGTGCTGTGCTATCTTCTTGAATACAGCTGAGAGATCAGATTGGAGAAGGAACATGATCTTCCTGGTGGGTCTCAAAGCATGGAAAATGTGAGGATCTTGGCAAGTATCATTTATTGAAGACAGATTTGTAGAAAACCAAATAAATGTAGGAGGTTGATAAATGTGTGGGAAGTGATAAGAATATATATGGACAAATGTCCCTAATAAATGTGCTGGTTTTTATTGCATATGGTAGAGCTGGAGAGATGCTCAGGAGTTAAGAGCACTGGCTGCTCTTCCCCAGGAACTAGTTCAATTCCCCAAATCTACATGGTGGCTCACAACCTTCTAAAGCTCCAGTTCCAGGGAATTTGATACCATTTACTAGCTTCTGTGGGCACCAGACACACATGTGGTGCACAGACATACGTGCAGGCAAAACACTCATATGTGTAAAATAAAACAAAATAAAACCATTGTATAAGGTGTTCTTCATAATAACCAGAGTTTGTGTTTTCCCATGGGTGTAACTCAGTATTAAGTGCTCAACATCCATGCAGTAAAAACCCATCAATAAGTCCCGAATATTAACTCACCTAAAACGTTTACTGAGCCGCAATTCACCAGGCACAGGCACAGTTTCTAATGATATTGTGTTTAAAATGCCTTGTCTTCCAAGAGGTTGTAAGGACGTGAATAATTCTCAGTGCTAAAGGGTGGCGTGAGCCTACAAGTGCTTCCAAAATATGCAGAAGTAGCACCTGATCCAGACCAGGTGTGACAGAAGGAAGCTAGGAAAAGTGGTACTCAAGGGACTTCCTGGAGGACAAGGAGAAATTAACCAGCTAGTTCCAGAAATAGGGACTAAGATGTTCGGACAAAGAAAGCT